CCACCGTGCCGGCCAGGGCCTGCAGCCCCGCCCGCCGGCTCGCCACGACCTCCGGCACCGCGGCCTCCTCGGGCGCCAGGGCGGCCAGCAGATGCAGCCGGCCGCCCGGCGCCAGCAGGGGCAGAGCCCGCGCCACCAGGGCGCGATCGGCCGCCGTGCCGGCGCAGACCAGCAGGATCGTCGCGAAACCAGTCATTCGGCCAGGGCCTCCTGTCCGCCGGGTTCGGGAAGCGGGCGGTCGGGGCGCGGCGGCGGCGCCCGGCCCAGCAGCAGGTCGACGGCCTGGTCGGCGGCGTCGCGGAAGGGCAGCAGCACCAGATCGGCCCCGGCTGCGCTCAGGCGCGCCACCTCCGCCTCGCGGTGGGCGGTCACCGCCACCTTGCCCTGGTAGCCGGCCTCGCGCAGCGCCGCCATCAGCGTCAGGCGGGGGTCGGTGTGGGTCAAGCCGGTCTCATGCTCCGGCACCGCCGAGATCACCCAGCGCACCCCGGCCAGCGGCAGGTGCCCCACCAGCTCGGGATCGCCCGCGTCGCCGTAGCGCGCCGCCAGCCCGGTCCGCTGCCAATAGCGCACCGTGGCCGGGTTGAAGTCGATGCCCAGCACCCGCCGGCCGGCCGACTCCAGCCCGCAGGCGATCTGTCCGCCAAAGCGGCCAAGCCCGAACACCAGCACCTCGCTGCCGGTCTCGCGGGCGGCGGCCGCCTCCACCGCCGCCTCGCGGAACGGCCGGCGCCGCTCGAAGGGGCCGAGCAGCGGCTCGAAGAGGGCGTAGAGGCGCTGGGAATAGGTGATCATGTAGGTGGACAGGGAGATGGTGATCAGGCCGACCAGGGTGACCAGGCCCAGGGCCTCGGGGCTGACATGGCCCAGGTCGACGCCGACGGCGACGAAGATCAGGGAGAACTCGCTGATCTNNNNAGGAAGCCGGTGCGCTTGCGGTAGCCCATGGCGCCCATGATGACCAGCACGATCAGCGGGTTGCCGATCAGCACGAAGAGCGCCAGCACCAGCGCCGGTCCCAGGCTCTGGCCCAGCAGGCCGAGGTCGAGGCCGGCGCCCAGCGCGACGAAGAAGAACAGCAGCAGGAAGTCGCGCAGGGAGGCCAGGCGCGCCGCGATGGCCTCGCGGAAGGGGGTCGAGGCCAGGCTGACGCCGGCCAGCAGGCCGCCCAGCTCCTTGCCGAAGCCCAGATAGTGGCTGACCGCCGCCAGCAGCGCCGCCCAGCCGATGGCGAAGCAGACCAGCAGCTCCGGCGCGCGCGCCAGGCGGGCGACCAGCGGGTTGGCCAGGACCAGGATGAAGAGGGCGACCGCCGCCAGCAGCCCGACGCCCGAGACCAGCACCAGCGCGATCTCGCCCAGCCCGCCCAGCGCGCCGCCAGCCGCCTCGTCCCCCTGCGCGCCGCCGCCGGCGGCGGCGCCGATGCCGGCGGCGGACAGCGCAATCATCGCCAGCACCACCACCAAGTCCTGCACGATCAGGAAGCCCAGCGCGATGCGGCCGTGCAGCGCGTCGATCTCCTTCTTGTCGGAGAGCAGCTTCACGATGATGATCGTCGAGGANNGCCACGGCGACGTAGAAGCTGGTGGTCGCGTCCAGCCCCAGGCCGAGGCCGAGCAGGAAACCGATCGCCGAGGTGAAGAGCACCTGGCCCAGGCCGGTGGTCAGCGCCACCGGCCCCAGACTGCGCACCAGCTTGAGGTCGAGCTTGAGTCCGACCAGGAACAGCAGCACCGCGATGCCCAACTCGGCCAGCAGGTCGATCTGCCGGTCGGAGCGGGCGATGTCGAGGCCGCTGGGGCCGACCAGGATGCCCACGGCGATGAAGCTGACGATCAGCGGCTGACGCGCCGTCAGACCGACAAAGCCGACGGTCGCCGCGATGACCAGGATCGCGGCGATCTCGTAGAAGAGATAGCCCGTGATGACCTCGTCCATCGCGGGCGCTCAGGCGGACGCGGGGCTTTCAGCACTCATGCCGCGAGAATAAACCACCGCGCGCGAAATGCGCTTTGCGGCAAATCAACACGGTCCATGCGCAATTATACCCAAAGCCCGACTCGGGCACGCTGGCTCGGGCGGAGCGGCTTGCGCGGAGCGGCCCGGATCAACCGGGCCGCCGCGGCCAGAGCCGCAGATTGAGAGCAGATTGTGAGCGTTTGGACCCACAGCATGGGTCCGCCGATCACAAGAAACCTG